TATACACAGAGGAAAGCCTTACTATTAGTGCAGCAGAGAGACCGTGCCAAATTAGACAACTTCAAGCTGTTGTGGTCGCGCCGTGACAGCGCTCGTGTCCGTTGTATCCATCACAGTGTTGCCAACTCCGCGGTTTTCTCATGGAATTGGGCTACTTTATCACTGTTGCCGCGGGTTGTTTTTCATGTCCGTGTTTTTTACACAAGAGCAAATATGTGTTTGTGTGGAAACCTTAAATCAATAAAACCAATCCCTGCTCAATCTGACCAAGCAACCAGAAAATGTCCTACATACAGTGTTTTTTTCCTCTTTGATCACACTAAACGAGCAGATGACCGAATGGCAGTTAGTGTCTTTAAAATAACTGAATGCGTTTGAGTGTAAGTCATATATATCCCAACTAATCAAAAGGTTGGGATATTGTTTTTTTTAGTATTATTTTTTCAAAACTACTACAGAAAATATGCATAATGTATTGTAATGTAAAAGAAAGAAGACGCTATTGCGTATTATTACGTAAATACAGTCGATATCTGAGGCGCAAGATGATAGCAGTTGTGTTTGAATGAGGTTTGAATGAAATGACTGAGTGTGGCAGTGTGATATGAGAGATGTGAAAAAGAAGCACTGACCTCAAATACCCGGATGAGTCGTATGTTATTCGACACTGATAATGACGACAGTTTTTATCAGGGAATAACCCACCTTGAATGTCGTGACTGACCAATCAGAATCAAGTGTTCCAGAGAACCATGTAATAAACACAAATAACAGACGCTAACAGTAACACCTCGCGCAATGTGACGCCAGGCACAACTCAAGTATTTTTTGCTAGTTTCAGCCCAACGCAGTTATCATTCTCACGTCCAGCGCCACGTTGTTTAAATAGCAAATGCACTTGCACCCATCTGTTCATCCAAGGTAGTCTGAAAACGAGGTGTGTTCAGGCGCATTGTTGGCACATAGCTTTTTTAGGCAACTGAAAATTATTGTGCAACTGACCAACTAAAACCTGGTCTAAAGTCAATGGCGCAGTATTTTTTTTTTTATTTAAAGGGCGAGTTAGTAATATGCGCCTATAGACGGGTGCACAATGCGTGTACAATCTGCTTATTAAACACACAGCAATGCGCAACAGCACACAAATATGCCAAATATTAAAAATGAAAGGATTACAATATAAAAGATTATTATTGTCTGTTATTGTCAGGGTGCTTTGGTGGAATCTGGCTTGTCCTGTAAATGGTCTGCTCGTGCGCTTTAACCTTGCGCACGAGCAGATCCGTTTCCTCGCTGGAGATGCATTCAGTCTTTGCTCTTGCAAATTCCACCATGTAAATAGCGAATCTGCCATGGTGCAAGCACAACTGGCTTTTAAAGGGAATGGAAGATGAGACTCTGATTGGTTTATTGCATGTTACCCCCAAAACACACCCATGACTCATTAAGAGAAAAGGTACAACCATTTTGGACCATGACCGCCAACTGTTTTTTCCATCGTTAAACTAGCAAAAGTGGATTCGGACACACCCTGAGTGCACCTGCACCATGCGCTTCAGAACATGCAGGGGCGTAAATTTCGTCTAACAGTTGGGGGGGACAATAAACATAAAATTTCTCAAGAGCGATTTTTGAAGGGGACACAAATAATACTTGTAAGGATATGTATACACAGAGGAAAGCCTTACTATTAGTGCAGCAGAGAGACCGTGCCAAATTAGACAACTTCAAGCTGTTGTGGTCGCGCCGTGACAGCGCTCGTGTCCGTTGTATCCATCACAGTGTTGCCAACTCCGCGGTTTTCTCATGGAATTGGGCTACTTTATCACTGTTGCCGCGGGTTGTTTTTCATGTCCGGCGGGTTGAAGCGAACCCAATAACGTGTATTTTAGACACTGGAATGCGATTTTTACCGGGGGACCCTCTCGAAACGCGGTTAGTTTGGGCTAGTTTTGAGTAGCAATTGGGAGGGTTTTGCTGTAAAAAACCTGGCAACCCTTTTTGTCAAGCAGGTAACATTATTATTGCTACATAGTGACTCATCGAAAATACATTGGCATCATCTGTATTAAAGAGAAAATAATCACTTCATCCGATGTTTAAGTGAATAAAATAGCCTTGACAGCCTTACTTACTGGAGTTCCACAACTATTGGCTTTGTTCTCTCTCACCAGACTTGTATGTGTGTGTGTGTAGGTGATGTAAAAGAGGAAAGCAGGCATTTGGACCAAATCACTCTGAGGCAAGGGAGGGGGAGACTCAAAAAACTCAAAACGTATTTTTGCCCCGTTTGTGTTGTTTTACTATTTACACAATTATTTAAAGTATAAAACACTGTTATTTACAATACACAGACTGGTTTTAATCATATTTTTAGGGGGGACAACCCTCAGATGGTAGCATGCCTATTACTAGCATATTAGCTGTATATTAGTACTTATAAAGCACATATTAATGCCTTATTCTGCATGATCGTATTTTATATCCCTTAATCATACCCCAGACCTAAATTTAACAACTAATTTACTAACTATTAATAAGCAGCAAATAAGGAGTTTCTTCAGGGAAAACTCTTAATAGTAAATATGTGTTCCCTACTCTGAAGTGTTACCATGCTAACTAAACAGATACATAAAACATTATACATAGTATACATACACAGAAATAGAAATGGACATTTTATTTTCATATTAGTATGGTTATCAGTCCAATGATTTTTTTTTTTTTTTACATCTTACATGTAAACGTAAATGTAAAACCATATTACCAGGGGGTTTCACATCATAATGGTTACTAAACTGTTTTAACATGACCTATCAGCATCTAAAAACTGATTAATTTTCTAATGTTAGTATTCAACAAGCTAATGATTACAATAAACAATAATTAACAATTTTGTCAGTTTTTCCTAAATATGTATGTGCTCTCTGCTGGTATGAGTGTGTTCCTGTCTGCCCTTAAGAAGCTCCTGCTAAGAATAATTACTGATAAGAAACATTTAGTCTGTCAGTCGTCCATTCTTTTAATTGAAACACAGTGCTTGGAAGCTGTCACTTATTATTTTACTGCCAAAGGACTCTAATAAAGCCAAATCATTTTTAAAGTAGACTTGAATATTTCACAAGCGGCACCACATGGCCAGGACCTCCTGTCAACAATAGCATTGTTTCAGTTCTGTTTTGATGTTGATGAAAAAAATAAAAAATCACCCTCCTCTCCATTTTATTGTCATCAGAATTTATTAGTTTGTAATGACCTATTTTTGTACGAAAGAGAGCCTTTCAGATTCTTTTTGAAAACTATCCCGATTATGTGTAAGTGAGGAACAAATTAATCTTAAATATTTAGTGATGTCTATGTTTCAAAGCTGAGAACATTTTGTTAATAGCTTCCATTAAACTCAAAATTCATACCAAATTCAGCTTATCACACAACCACATCTAAAGGTTCAATTTCATAGGGACTGTCAAACATTTGTGATGCTGTGGTATCTAAATATGCAAGACCATGTGGTGCCTCTAATGTTTGTTACAAACAGGCCAAGAGCACTCTTAAGAAATTCAAAGCTCAAAGCAACAGCAGTTAACTGTGTATGCTGGATACATCAGTTAGCCGTGCTCATGTTACATTACATATCATTAGGTATTCTTCAAACATCCTAACCTATGGTGATATGCTGAGAAAAAACAATTATTATATTTTGACGTTATTAAAACTAAGAACTCAAATGCTATTGCACAGCTATTCATAGAACTGTCAACCAGTTGCCAGATGGATGTTCATGAAAATGATTATTATTAGGCCTGTTTCGCACCACATGTAAGCACTGCATATTTATTTTGGTTCCCATATTAACAGGTTACAGTATTCACACTGCCCTCAAAAGCATCTCTGCTCTGTGTAGCAGGAGCTGTAAAAGTGCAGCTGCAATTACAGTTCCGGCACTGAGGTTATTTTTGCACATATCACACTAAACTAAAGTAGAAGACAAGTTAGAAATGCACTAAAAACCTTCACAATATAGGCTTTTATAAAGCAATATAAACTAATTAATTAAACTAGATTTATTTTCTTTGTTGCTTTTCTCAGCATATTACCATGGGTTAGTTCAATACTACCTATTTGTCACACTTCTCGTGAGGCAAGGAGCGAGGAAACACGGAGATAGCTTCAATTCACAGTCTTTAATGATCACACGGGGAACTTAGGAGATACTGGAACACAAGGAATGACGATTGAGGACCGACAAACACTAACTGAAAGGACTGGGGCTTTTAAACACTGGGTGATTGGGAAAACACAGGTGCAAGGAATGACTAGGGTGGAGCCGAAGGCTCTGGTGACCGAGGCGGAGATACGGAGATCCGCGGTGGAGCCGGAGCGTCTGAGGACCAAGGTGGAGCTGGCGGGAGGAAGGAGCCCAACGGAGCCGGTGGGACAGAGCGACGAGGTGCAGCCAGAGGAGTGGAGTCCAGAGGCGATGGCAGGTCAACGCCCGACCAAGGCGGAGCCGGAGGGGCGAGGGAGCCCGGTGGAGCTGGTGGATCAGCGGGTGACGGTGGAGGTGAGGGAGCTAGGAGCCGAGGTGGAGCCACTGGGTCTACGGGCTGAGGCGGAGACACTAACTGAAAGGACTGGGGCTTTTAAACACTGGGTGATTGAGAAAACACAGGTGCAAGGAATGACTAATTAAAGGGAACACAGCACACCTGGGGAGGGAAAACACAACACAAAGAGTACAGGGGCGTGACACTATTAGGTTAGGCCAGGGGTCTCCAACCTTTTTTACATCACAAACCGGTTACGTTTGGAAAATATTCTTGCGAATCGGCTGGACGGGGATATATATATATATATATAGCCTAATATATATTAGGCTATTATATAGTATTATAATAGCATTATATTGTGTTGTTTTTTTTGAGTCACAGATCGGACTATTTTTTCGGATAAGCAAAAAAAAAAATATATTTAAAGCACAGAGAATGACAATGCCGTGAAGGGTTTTTGACATAGGCTAATTTTATGTGTATGTATACGCAACTTGGTATTTCTGCGCTGTCTGAAACATGTCTCTTTGCGCTTTGATTGTGTGCGAGAACAGCACGTGAGTAATGAATTGAACTCTCTTTCGTTTCTTCTTCTTGTGGTTTACAATTGCTTGTATGTGTAAACTGGCAAATTAATCTGCGAATCACGTGCGTGCCTAATGGTAGGGTCTCATCCGTATGTATTACGGATCAACTGCGATCCGTTTAACTCCTAATATGTGACAGATCAGAGCAATCTTTCATTTACTTACTTAACATGAAATTGTCAAATTGCTACTCCATATCAATTGCATACAAAGAAAATACAATCATTAACATAAATATATAACAGAGTGTCATATCTATACACATTTTTCCCAGAACGTTCTTGCGACCCGGTAGCAAATCTTCCACGGCCCGGTAGTGGGTCCTGTGGTTGGGGACCTCTGGGTTAGGCTATCATTAGGTAGAATCCATTGATATATATGACTGGATTGCTCATTTTTGTCAGACCTGGGGCCCGTTCTGCATATGTTGCTTATTACATCCAGATCAAATGACACATCCAAGATGATATCATCGCGTTAATCAGGATCTGGCTAATTCGGTTCTTTGAAAGCACCTGTTGTTATGATTAGTATGGCTGGATTGAGTTATCTGAGATAACTGCGCGCTCATGGGTTGGTTTAAAAGGGACTATGTATCGATACTCGAAACCACGATCAGCAATACAGCGATTGGCTGGTGGCAAGACAGCAACGTAATGACATCATATAATTAAAAAAGACACCTGGCGAAAGACTTGACAAATTTCTAGACTTTTATAAGGAAACAGCCAAGCGAACAAAACTACATAAATGTTATAATAGATAAATGAAATGTGCACTGTTTTTATTTTATTAAATTTTTTACATGATTCCCAATTATTTATATTCCCAATTTCTAATATTTGTACAAGCTTTACATTTGTATTTCAATGTAGCAATTAGCAATTCATTTAATTTTATCTTTGAAACAGATTTGTTAGCATTAATTAAAGTTTCAAGGGTCAAGATCATGTTATCTGCATCTCTTGCGCTCCATCAAGTCCCTCCCATAATAGCTGTCACCACTCAAATTAATGCACGGCTCAGATTAACTGTATAGCATGTGTGTAAGACTCTAATACAATTATGAAGTAATTATGGATCAGTAGGATACTCTTGTAACAAAGTAGCGGTGGCTGGGACAGATTTTAAGTATCAATTATTCTTAAAAAGATGCAATCTAATCCTGTTTACATGAAATAAGCCTGCTCCCGAGCAGGTTTAAGCTTACGGACCTGTTGCTATAACAGCAAGTCTGGGATGAGCTTCAAAGATCCAACCAATCCAAGATCATGCCAAATCGTCAACAATCAAATCCAGCTGACTGAGTTAGCGACGTATGAAGAACGGGCCCCTGGGTTCATGTTTTGTTGTTGTTTAGTTCTCCATGCCCTAGTTTCTTCTCGTGTTAATTGTGCCCATATTTGGTTCTTCCTGTTCCTGCTCCTAGTGTGTTTCATCTGTCTCAGGTGTGCCTCGTTATCCCCTGGTTCAGTTGTGTATTTAAAGAGTGTTCTGTTCCTGGTTTCCTCGTTCGGTGTCTTGTGTCATGCCCTGTTTCAGTTTGTATTCCCTTTGGTTGTTAATTAAAGACTGTTTTCTTTGATTTACTCCTGCGTCTCCTCGCTCCGCAGTATCGTGACAATTGCGTTCTACACTGTCATCAGGCGGTGAAGTCACTGGAAGTGTTCAAGCGGCCATATTGCTATTCCCTACCAACAGAAGGCATCACTGACTGACAGCCAAAACCTTGACCTAAAATCACTTGATTTGCAGTGTTTAATTCACACAGGATTAGGTTTTTTTATGATATGTGTATGCAAATCCATTGTTATTTCAGGTGTTATTTTAATGTTTATGGTAGTTTCTAGCAGGATAAGCGATGAATACACACTGCTGAAGCAGGAAAATATTAAGCAGGACATATTAAACATGAACATATATCTGGTATTAGTAGCAGAAAATCATTCAAACATAATTACAATTTCCATAGGTGTAAAGTGGTATGTATTTGTTGCTTAATTAATTAATAATTTTTACAAACGTTTAAAGGGTTAGTTCACCCAAAAATGAAAATTAGTCTGTCTTTTACTCACCCTCAAGGCATCCTAGGTGTATATGACTTTCTTCTTTCAGATGAACCCAATCGGACTTATATTAAAAATCGGCATGGCTCTTCTAAGTGTTATAATTGCAGTGGGTGGGTGTTTCTGTTCAACAGTCCACAAGACGTCAAATAAAGCACGCGCATCCATAATAATACGTGCCTCACACGGCTCCGGGGGGTGAATAAAGGCCTCCTGTAGCGAATCCATGCATTTTTGTAAAAAAACTATCCATATTTCAAACATAATAAAATCTTCTCTCTCACTAAATCTACTGATGATGTCGGTGTTGCGTGATTAGTGACGAACGCGGAGAGAGAACAAAACAAAACACCGGTCATGAATTAGAAGTACAAACCGAGGATTTGTAAAGAAAAATGTCGGAGGATTTTCGGCGCACGTGACGCATACATCCTACGTCATCCGCTCTGAACGGCTTCCGCGTACGACAGATACCGGAAGTGAGAGAAAAGTGTTTATTACGTTTGAAATATGGATATTTTTCTTACAGAAAGCATGGATTCGCTACAGGAGGACTTTATGTTTTGTGTACATAATATATTTGTGTGTACTGTGTATATTTAATATGTATATTTAAATACACACTCATACAGTATATATTTAGAAAAAATATTTACATGTATTTACATATACATATTTATATTTATATAATTTATATGATATATAAATGTATTTAATGTACAAATATAACATATTTTTCTTAAATATATATTTATGTGGCATGTGTGTGTGTGTGTGTGGGGGGTACTCTTCAAGTGATGGTGCTCTTAAAGGGTTAAATCTATTTAAATTAATGCAAGATAGTGACCTAAATCCAAAATAGGTTCTTCTTTCAGATGAACCCAATCGGACTTATATTAAAAATCGGCATGGCTCTTCTAAGTGTTATAATTGCAGTGGGTGGGTGTTTCTGTTCAACAGTCCACAAGACGTCAAATAAAGCACGCGCATCCATAATAATACGTGCCTCACACGGCTCCGGGGGGTGAATAAAGGCCTCCTGTAGCGAATCCATGCATTTTTGTAAAAAAACTATCCATATTTCAAACATAATAAAATCTTCTCTCTCACTAAATCTACTGATGATGTCGGTGTTGCGTGATTAGTGACGAACGCGGAGAGAGAACAAAACAAAACACCGGTCATGAATTAGAAGTACAAACCGAGGATTTGTAAAGAAAAATGTCGGAGGATTTTCGGCGCACGTGACGCATACATCCTACGTCATCCGCTCTGAACGGCTTCCGCGTACGACAGATACCGGAAGTGAGAGAAAAGTGTTTATTACGTTTGAAATATGGATATTTTTCTTACAGAAAGCATGGATTCGCTACAGGAGGACTTTATGTTTTGTGTACATAATATATTTGTGTGTACTGTGTATATTTAATATGTATATTTAAATACACACTCATACAGTATATATTTAGAAAAAATATTTACATGTATTTACATATACATATTTATATTTATATAATTTATATGATATATAAATGTATTTAATGTACAAATATAACATATTTTTCTTAAATATATATTTATGTGGCATGTGTGTGTGTGTGTGTGTGTGGGGGGTACTCTTCAAGTGATGGTGCTCTTAAAGGGTTAAATCTATTTAAATTAATGCAAGATAGTGACCTAAATCCAAAATAGGTAGAAACAATGAACTATCCAATATTGGCAAACAGATTTCCATTAATGGCCTATGTTTCAGTATATTTATTATCCATATTTAATATAATCAGACACAACAATACCTCAATCTCAACCACTGATTCACCTCTTTGGCAGGTTTCAGACCTACCGATTCAACCCAGGAGAGATGGTGTTCGATTAGGGCTACAGATCGTCTGCTTTCTCTAGGGTGGCCTTCAGGCTTTCTAATGCTTTCTAATGCTCTGATGTGCCCACCAGCAGACTTTGTTCTTTGATTGTGCAAGTCTTAATTGGACATGAACCACAAACCCCCCACCCCACCCAAGGGAAAGAGACCCATCCAAGCTAAACGAATTAGCCTTTCATATGACTGCTGCCTTAAACATAATTGAATTGCATTAGCTGGATGGCTATACACCCCAATGGAAATGAAACTCTGGATGGGCAGACAAGTTACTTGGGACTTTATCAATGTACTGTTAGTATTACATGAACTGTGCACATGAGCTGTTTTATTTATTGCTGTGTTTTAACTGACAAATAATTGATCTATTTAACTTAACACAGGCCTGTCTAACTAAAAAGTACAACAAAGCAGATTTATTTATTTAACAGTGACTTACTGAACAAACTATTACTACGTCTTTAAATATAAATATAAGCACTTTTAGAGATTCATCCCCCTATATCTGATGTGAGCATTGTGAGATTATTGGGACATTTGGCTCACAGGTCTTTCTAAGTGATCAGCTGTGTCCTGTTGCATTAATTGTTCAGATATTAAAAGCAGGGTATGTGTCATATTAGTTACATTCATTGCTTCTGAATTCTGAGTCTTGCTGACATGAGCTGACATTGAGAGGAAAGCAAGCAATTTGGATGCTAAAGGAAAAGAGGAACTTAAAGGGTCATGAAACCCCAGACTACTTTTTCTGAGATTTTAGAAGAGGTGTTTGTGTTGCACATTATAGAAGACAATGTTAGCATCCGATAATTTTAACTGTTGGAGAACACTGGTTAATTTTAAGCTTTTTTTGCTCTATTTTCATCTTCTGGGTTTAAAATCTACATTGTGTTGACATCACAATTTGTGACGTGGCAATGGACTAATAGTACATCGATGATGCGTCGGTGTCTATTAAATTATTCATGAGACTGCGTGTTCTTATCCTATGGGAAAACGCTTTGCTTAATTATTCAGAACAGCATGTGTTGATTTGCTATGACAGACGTTTCAGACTGTGAGATCGCGCACATTAACTGAGAGAAACATTCATGGATCGAAGAAGAGTGTTTGTTTTTGCTTTGTAATAAGAGTTCGGCACAAACGCGATTCATTCACTTGGTGAGCATAACCATTTTTACAGCTCTGTGAAACAACGCGTCAAAAGGCTTATATAAACGCCACAGAATAAGCCTTAAAAGTTCTCAGAGGTGCAACAGCGTGTTCATATATGTTTTCGTTGCAGAGTGCAAATGGCTGTGCATTTATTTGTGTTTTTAACTCGATGGGAGCGAAATGAAACAGTCTGAACGCGAAGCTGTGTGTGTTGTCTGTCTCCCCTCTTCCCCCTCCGCTCCATTGTGCACGATGCCCACTTTTTTAGCATTTTTTAAAACTGTGGTGAGAACTAACCAGTGCTGAAACGGGGGGTTTCATGACCCTTTAATTAGAGCTATATCAAAAACAGTGTGCATGGAGAAATCAACACTTTGGAATGTCTTGAAAAAGAAAGAAACCACCAGTGACTTCAGCAATCACGAATGACCGAATCGGCTGAGAAAAACAACAGCAGTTGATGACAGACAAATCATAAAAGCTGTCAAAGGAACCCTAAAATAAGTTTCTGTAAAATAACCAACAACCTCCAGAAAGCTGGGGTGAAAATACTCACCACTAATTTATGCAGGCCATCTAAAATAGGTAGGCCTTAGCAGCAAGAGCTGCCGTGGTTCTACTGGCTTTGGAGGGGAAACACGGATGATTCCTCCAGGTGGCGGCATTTTGCGAGCATAAAAAGTGCACCGAAAACGCACTCTCCCCCTGGGAAATGTCTACGTAAGCCCTAGCTGCCCCACCAACGAGGGTGGTGAGGATGGAGGAGGGAGACGTGCAGCTTCTGAACGAAAAAGAGGCTGTCCACGACTTCATCAGCTCCTCATGCACCTCCGGGAAGAAAGGAATCGGTACAGGGCGGGCTCACTGTAACCCTCAGATCGCCCAGATCACTAGCCGATGGTTCTCTGCTCGCGGCAGAGAAGCCAGCATGGGTAGTGACAGAGGGAGCCCATCCCATCCCCGTGAGGAGAGAGAGGTGCGATCACAGTGCTGCCATAGTCATGCGCTCACAGTGGAAGCATGAACTATCCACGAAAGCATCTTCAGCGTGCTGTAAGCCCAGACACTGAAAACAGCGATCATGGCCGTCGACGGAGGATAAGAAATGACTGCAACCAAGAGGACACGGATGGAACGGTGTCTTTAAAAAGACGCGACCTGTCCGTGATCAGAAGCTGCTCTTTTAGATGAAGCACCCAGAGGAATCGCTGAATTAAAGGTGGGGTGAGCGATTTCTGGTAGCCAATGTTGACATTTGAAATCACCAAAACATACACGCCCCTACCCCAAAAGTGCCTCGCCTGGGGCTGCACGATAAATCGCATGCGATATTTAACGCCGGCTTTACTGATAAGATGCGCGTTAAATATTGCATGCGATTTATCGTGCAGCCCTAGTCTCGCCCCTATTTTGATAGCTCCGCCCCACACATACGTACGCAACCCAGGCAACGATTAGTTCTGTGAAACAAAGCAAAACCAATGTTACACCGTGTCTACACCGGACGTGAGTGGCACAGCGCGACAAATCTCCTCCACATCATGAGTAGACACGCCCCTTACTGCTGATTGGCTACAAGTTTGTTTTGCTAGTTGGCCCGAATCAGTTTTCTAAAGCGTTTTTCAAAAATCGCTTACCCCACCTTTAACAGGGACACTGCTAATTGTGCCATAACGCCACCCAGAACAGCCTCTTCTTCCATCAGCAGAGAGAATTCGCCTGGTGAATCTCCAACTGTGTTCATTTACTCGGCTCCGAAGCAAAAATCTGATGAGTTGGATGCACCTGTTGCCTATTTATACCCGTGTGCACGGGGAGTGGCTCAGCATGCAAAATTTACTAGCCAAATTTAATTGGCGTTTTCTCTTAATCAGAGAGGATTTAGGCTCCCAAGTAAGACCCCTAATGTCGTCACGACATAACTCATAGTGAACGACAGAAAGTTAACTTCTTTTAGACCTACCTGAAAAACATGAAAAAGCAATGTTTATTTAATTTGTGCCTTGGTATTTAGTTTCTGATGTTGCTTGTAATTGGGAAAAGATTCCTAGCACTAATCCCTGCATTTCTGCATGAGACACAGAATGCAATGTGCAGTAGCAAAAAAAAATTAAATTTATTTTTGTATATTTATTTTTCTACAACTGCAGTACCTCAGTTTTGTTGTTTCCTAATGAGTATTTACACTATATTTTACACATTGCACATTTTTGCACAGCCTGAAAGACTTTGTTGACTTTTGTCTTGTCATAAGATTACTGGTCTCATGTGATTAGATTTTGTCCAATTATTCTTTATTTTCCTTATTATTTAAAAAATATATATTTTTTTTGTTATGAAAGCCCCAATTGAGGTACAGGATGTGCACATTTCAGATAAATGTTCAGGCTATATATTTTAGTTGCATTAGTGAGTTTATAAAAATGTAACTGCTTGTGTAAAATAAGTACATAATATAATAATATCGATAAATCGATTGATATATTCCTTAATCAAATCATATTGAAATATTATATTATCATAAATATCGTATTGCTGGGTATGAGAAACAATACCATATCGTATCGTGCGGAAGCGTCTGATTTACACGGCTAATAAGAACCTGGAAATGTTTATGTTTATCATTTATGTTCACTTCTCCCTCATCCCTTTAGGCCAACTCAGTTGACATAACATCGTTCAAAATATCTTATTTTGTGTTATACTTCAAGATACATCAAAACATTGCAGTATATTTTCATTGAGTATCCAGTAGTTCTCAATGGTGGTGAAACAGGAATCCTTCAGGAGCATTTCAGTCCCTGGGCCAATGAGGATGCTACACCACAACTGGCTTTGGCATAATGGAACTGGACCAAGTGGAAACATCTTGGATTACAGCATGCTGCGATAGGCCTCCTGCTCTTGGACATCAGGTAGGTGGCTTTGCTGTGGCTTTGTTGGGTCTGTGGATAAATCCAAACACTCTTTTTCAGACAGATGACATAACATAAGCTCTGGCAAACTTTCAAGGAACTCGTTACCACTAAGTAATGTGCCATGCAACGGATGTGGTCATGGTTAGTCATGGCCCTGATAATATTGCCGGTGTAATCAGTCACAAAATCCTCCACTGAGATTCTCTCCCTCAAATCTGTCTGATAGGGAAATATACATCTGATCAATATGTTGGCAGGATGTGACCCTCGTTTAACAAATCCATTTGTAGAAGTGCTGTCATGTTACATTTACATTATATTTACATTTAGTCATTTAGCAGACGCTTTTATCCAAAGCGACTTACAAATGAGGACAATAAAAGCAGTCAAAACTAACAAAAGAGCAACAATATATAAGTGCAAATGACAAGTCTCGGTTAGCCTAACACAGTACATGTAGCAAGGTGTGTATATATATATATATATATATACCAAGGTTTCTGGCTGTTTTTGAAGGAGTTATGGTTGATGTGCCTAACTGGATGGTGAAATTGTGATGAAACGATGGGTTTGCTGGAACCACAAGCAGTTCTGTCTTAGCCAGGTTGAGTTGAAGGTGATGGTCCGTCATCCAACAAGAAATGTCTGTTAGACATGCTGAGATGTGAGCAGCTATCGTCGGATCATCAGGATGGAATGAGAGGTAGAGTTGAGTGTCATCAGCATAGCAGTGATATGAAAAGCCATGTTACAGCACCTGCCTCCCTGACTGCATGGCACAGTGGCCTCTCAAGGGCAAATATGCATTTGTGGAGAATTTTCTTGTCCAGATGTCAGTTGTACAAAGGACAACTTGTCCCACCACAGATTCAATTGTCTCTTTCACCATATTGTGCACCTGTGCACTATGAGCTGGGAGACAACTTTATGTGAAAAGCATGCCAGAAAGGATATTTTGTTGTGTTGGATGACAAAAGCGACATTATAAACACTAGAATGTAGTAATAAATTAGTGCAAATCATATCACAGTTGGTGCTAGTGATTTGGATTGCCTCCGGGTGATAGGGGAGGTATGTTTTTGCATCAAATACAGATATGAATTAGAAAGAGGTAGCACTAATGTATGGCTGTGTGCTTTTAGAAGAAGAGCTGGGTGTATGATCTAGTGGCAGGGCAGTAGGGTGCTTAAAATGCATATGATTATGTTCTACATAACATAAGTAGTTGTATGTTTAATATCCTTGTTGTTGCTAATGGTGGCATTGCACAAGCTGGTTCAGTATTTGCTGTTGAAAGTAAAATTATTGCATATATTATTCCATGTCCTCTTACGAACTGAGACTGAGTAGTTATTGTCTGCTGTAGATTGCTCTGCCTCACCATTTTCATATTTAATCTATAATTATTATAGAGTGACCATGATGAATAATGTTCACAATAAATAAAATGGCAAATAAAAATCTTTTAGAAACCTAGTCTAAAAGTTGTGCTAAGTTTAGATACTGTACAGTTCTGTTTATTTATATTTATCTTGGCTGCATGTAATGATATTAAATGTAAATAATCTAAAAATGGCATGTGATGTAACCATCGAGTAACAGAATCAAACAGAATCATTTAGTTTCAAAAACATTTTTAAATATGTTAAAATGTTTATCTGATGTTTTGAATGTAATGACTTATTAATTAATAAACATAATTATGTTTTTGGAGAGTTGCACCACATGAAATTATACAACCTAAACTAACCTTGTCTTCTAATAAAAAAGATCTGATGTTTAAAATACTACTACTACTACAACTACTACTACTAGTAGTAATAATTTGGGAGATATGAAGTCTCGGATGAAAACCACAGGACTGTCAGATGTTGATAATATTGACTTTGCAGACTTTTCATTGTATTTTTGTATTTGTTTATTTTAAAGTATTTGCTATGTATTTATTTTTCATTTTGAATTCAGTAAATGCAGAAGCAGTTGTGTAAGTTTACTTAAGAAGTTAGAAAGAAGTAGAGTGTGTGTGTGTGTGTGTGTGTGTGTTTGTAACAATGGAGGACACAGATTTGTATAATGGCATGGGTATGACATAGGTTCTATGAGGACATTACCCAATGTCCCCATTTTTCAAAACGCTTATAAATAAAGAGTTTACTCTTTGAAGGATTTCTCTGCCAGACGTCACTTCCTGTTTGTTGCTGCCGTGTGTTTTGAGTTTGAGCTCCGTCAAGTTAATTCTTTGTCGTCTAATTTTTATCTTAAAATCAATTTTATACACCATCATTTTCGTTTCTATAACGTGTGAATATATCCCCTATCGTATTCTACAACAAAAACAATCAGAGCGCCTTGTTATCACTAGTTCTATTTTGACTTCCCGAGTCCGCTATTAGCATATAGCCCGTTAGCATCGCCAGCGTGGTTGCCGCTAATCTCGCTTACATTACTAATACTCTATTCACACACATTACCATTGTTTTACTCACTGTTACTTGCTTTAATGGCGGATGTGTGTCTACCTTTGAGTACAGGTGAGGACACGTTCAAGCTGCATTCGGTGCAGCTCGAGCTGGAGGCCGTGGAGAAGCAGATCCGCGACCTGGTGGAGAAGCAGTCCGAAACGTCATACACATCATCACAAATCACAGCTGAAAATTAAGGTAAATGTTATCAGGGCGGCTCATTCAAACTAACTGCATTCAAAGTGTCATGATATTAAGTTGTGATACTCTAATTTTAATCTTTCTCAAACATTCAGTCTTTGTTTGGCAGATAATAAAATGAGCAAAAGATACACAATAGGCGTGCACTGAAGGAGGGATCTGAGCAAGAAATTAATAGGTCTGTTCTGCAGGGATGCATTAAATTGCTAAAAAGTGACAGTAAAGACTTTTACGTTGTTACGAAAAACTATTTCAAATAAATGCTGTTCTTTTGGACTTTCTGTTCTTAAAATACCCTGAAAAAATGATTGCAGCATAACTGTTTTCAACATTGAAAATAATGAAAAATTAGCAAATTAGCATATTAGAATGATTTCTAAAGGATCACGTGACACTGGTGACTGAGTATCGAGAGTAAGAGTATTACTTAGTATTATAAAAAAAATGAATTGTTTTATTACGTCTTAAATTGATTTTTCCGTACATTTCTGCCATATGTACATTAATTGACAGTCACCACTGATAAGCTACCACTAAATATTGTAGAAACTTAATTTGCTGTAAAGTTGCTTTGCAATGATTTGTATTGTGAAAAGCGCTGTACAAATAAACTTGACTTGACTTGACTTATAAATCATACAGAGTGAGTTTTTTTGAGAAAGTAAAAATACACAAAGTTTCTTGTAAGGGGTAGGGTTAGGTGTAGGGTTGGTATAGGGCGATAGAAAATACAGTTTGTATAGTATAAAAACCATTACGCCTGGAAATTCCCAAATTCCCAAAACAAACCTATGTGTGTGTGTGTATGTGAAACCTGTTTGGAATGTTTCTGCAGCTTTAAAACACATGATGTTTGTCATGTATGCAGTCCAAACACATTCATACACACACTAAATACATATACAGATACGCATACACATACACACACTCTTCTTCCGTTTGCCATTTGCCTGGAGACAGACTGATTGCAGGTGTTATCCAGGGGTCTGTGAAATCTGAACTGGTTCAGAGTTTGTTCAGGCCTTACAGCCTTTACACCTTCGCTGTATTGTTAATTAGCATTTCATATCAGAGAAACACGGACACCTGCCAAGACATCTTGTGTCAAAACTATCGTCTCAAGTCACTGGGGATGAAAACATGCCCTTTTTAGTGTTTCCATGGAGACAGTGTAGTCTACAACAGTTTCTTAGACACCGTGCTCCGCTTGAAAACCACTGAATAATTGTGAAGCTTCAGTAAACTAACGGAAAAATCACTATTATAACACATCAAAATAAATTAGAAGGCATTGAAATGATCTACTTGTCAATGGAATCAACTGCTAAGCAACAAACTTAACCTGAGGAAATTACCTTGAAATTGGAATTTATGCTCAGAAAACATCATCATTTCCAGCAAGGACAATATCTGACACAGATGAACAGAGAAATATTTTATGTGCAAGACTACTAGCAATGAAAGTATGAATAAGCCAGTACATTATAAAAAAAAAATGATATCATTTCTTCCAGTGCAGCAAGCACGGAAGTATTAGGTTTTTAAGGACAATTTTCACATGGATTTTGTTTTATTGTTTTATTTATATTTCGTTTTTTATGATTTTTATTTTAAGACTTTATTATATGCTGAATGCTGAAAGCAGATTAGAGCTCTCCCGAAAACAATAAATCTCATGCATCTCAAAAAAATCTCTTCATTTAGTGAATCCAGCACTAGTGTGGACAATGTGTACAAATAAACTGTGCAGTTTGAGCTTCTTCTTATTTATTATATTATTAATTGCATAACACAATCCCTGAAGACACAGGTTAAACAGGACATCTGTTTCTTTTGTATCTCTTTAGTTTTCAAAGACCTTAACAACAAGGATGCAAAGGAATACTCATTTATTTGACTAAATGCAGCTGCTCTGTTTTGCATAGTGCCCTGAGCATATGCGCTGTAGCTCCTGTCTGCATGTGTGGCCTCACTGGTGCTCCTCCAAGAAACCAAACTGGATTGTTAATAAACAGGAATACCTCTCAAAGGACCTTAAATGCAGGGTGCGAACTACGGGGGAGCTAGGGGGAGCTCGGCTCCCATTAATAAGACATGGGCTCCCCTGAAAACGTGATTTGTGAAATTTTGGGGGCTCTCAAAAAATATTGACAATGTGTTATTTTGACGTGCAATTTCAGTTTTGTGTAATGTGATCATCGTGGATTATTATGTGTAAAATTGCAAAAATATCATTCATTCATGCATGACGGCGATTTAAACCTAATTCACTTCAATAAAGATAACTATACATGCTATTCTTGTCATGAGCATCAAGGTGTGGGGGCGCTGCGGTGCAAATTCCACTCATGTTTAGTACATGTTAACCCAAAGATTCGTAGAAAAAATATAAACGCTGGACTCTGTGGTCGATTCTGTGTTAAGGTAAGGCATGAAATTCGCAATTATGTGTTGTGGCTGGGTTGTTATAGGTCTGCGTGACTCTCGATGTCTTAGGCCTAATTGAACGGAGGAATTATGGTATTCTTCTGTAGCCTGACGACGAGTAACTTTAACCGTTGTTCATGTGAACTCAAAGACAGCCTGATGCTTTGTTTATAGACTATTTGGGGGTGGCTGTTTGTTGCTTCACCTATCAATTCTAGGGGTCGACCGATTATCGGCCTGGCCGATTATCGGCGCCGATATTAAGCATTTTTATGATTATC